TATGACCATATATTGGTCCTCTTGATGCTGAGATGAGAATGGTTATCTTTCGATTACTGGTAATTTACTGGAGGGAAGTCGTTCCTCATTTTGACACGTCCAAGTACTTGCAGCTAGATGTGATTTGAGAACGTTTAAGTCGTGTTTTCTCTGGAAAGAAACCGAGAAACAATGACAACAATGATAATGCATCTATGTTGTAATGCTGACAGAATTAAACAGAGATTCAGATGAAGCGCAACTTTGCATGGTAATGAATCTAAATAATATACATGTATTCTAAGGTCTGGACAACACGTTCCAAAAATTTAATAGTGATATTATTTTAAAATTAAATTTATGAATATAAAAAATATATTTAATCTTGATACAAGAATGAAGTTGAAGTTGTTTCTTCTTAAGCGACAAGTTTGAACAATTTCAAATACTAGTATTAACGATAGCAACAAACTTTGGAGACTAAAACCACGTAATGAATGATGCATTCTTTCATCAAACTCTTCGGAGTACCTTTCAAAGTTCCAAGAACGTAGTTCAAATACCAACGCTGCAAATATCGTGATCCCAGTTGAAATGCGCACGTGCAGAACCCTTTACCGAGACCCCAAATTACACTAGCTACGGTGAAGAATTTCGACAGGTTCTACTACATCAGATTTCAGTAGGACGGACAAAGAAGAAAGTTTGGTGAAATAAGTCATGGACGACTTTAGAAGTTTTTGTAGTAACGTATTGTTATTGCATATTTCAATAATACTTGTAATATTTACTTTTATTCATCCACATTTCAACAATAAGATTTGGAGTAAATTCAAAGAATCTGCAATACGGCCTTGATTTTTTATTATTTTTTACAATGTAATGCAGAATTATTTTTATGCACTGTTTCGTAAACTTAACTTTAAACCAAATTGAAAGAGGCAATTACATTGCTCTTTCTAGTTAGAATCCCCTAGGGTCTCTGAAAAATTTAAAGTTCGAAAAATAGCAGTTAAGTATTGTAGAGATTTTTGAAATTATGAATAAAAAATATTTCTAAGTACTTAGTAAATTTTATAAAATTTCAAGAACGTTAAGATTTTTATTAAGATATTTTAATGTTTTCAATAACTACAAAAGTCTATCTTGCGCATTTTTATCTCAATGAGTAATGCTTCCATCAATCTCTTCAAATATTATTACATTTGTTCTTCGTGGTGTTGTATCGTAAAAACATCTGCCTCTCGCGAAAGGATTTAAAGTTAAGAATTGATCGTCCTTGCCAACACCCCAGATTTTGCTAGAAGAGTTTTTGAATCGCGCAATAATGGCTTTTTCTTTAGCCAATTGGACTCAGAAGCGCAATCACAGATTCAAATCTGATACATTTACACCCTACAATCCATGCTCGCTCTGTCGCTACTTTTCATGCACACACAAAATACTAGCGAGCGCGCGGGGGAAATACGGGGAATGCTAAGGTGTCCATTTGCCTTATCCTCTACATACGGAAATGATACTTTCTCACAAAAAAGATTACATGTGTATTTGAAAGCGTTCGTTCTAATCGCTTTCGGAGGAAGACAAAATCCTACGGAAGAATTGAGTCTACGGCCAGAGGCAACCACAGTACCATACTTTCATCGACAATACTAGTTTCAATTCTGCTTCTAAAAGAATACGCCCACATGCACAAACTCCAATGTTACCTCACGTGACACATAATCCATAAAAATGTATCGGTGATTGTGATAGTCCACCACACCACCGTCCGTTCTAGCTTCAGGGCGCGACGGGGCGCATCTCCCATCAGGCGAGAGAGCCTCAGAACCAATGCAGTCTTCAATGCAGCGCGCATCCTCGTGCGCATCTTCGTGGCTGCAGCCCAGCGGGCAAGTGTCACACTTCCCCTACGACGCGCTAGTTACCAGCCAATTGGGATCTAAATGTCACCCATTCATGAACTGTACTTGGGCCGGAACGTCGCCAGACTAGGAATTTGTACTCACCTGCAGCATTCTTAGGGAATAAAATTAGGCAACATCTACAAACACAAACACTCGCAATAACTACGTCTACAACGACTATGCTTATAGGGGCGCTACTCTCTATTCGCAAAAGTGCTGGGAAAGCCTTTCCGCGGTCGCCTGGGCCGTGCGGAGGCGGGGAAGGCCGGGCGGGGCCGGGCGGGACGGGGGCCGGCGCCGCCTCCGAAGCGGCCACACCTGCCGCCTGGAGCCGGTCCAGGCGCGGCCTCTTGCTGGGCGCGCCCTCGTCGCCGTTGCGCGCGCAGACTCCGCTGCCTCCGTCGTCCCGACTCGAGGGCGATCTGCGCACACAGCACCACGCATTCGAAGCGATCCACGCGCAAGAAAGAGCCAACGCGGCAAATACATGAAAAGTCTCTGACCGGGAGGCCTTATGATCGAGTCCCGACAGTGGCAGGGTTTTCGACACTATTCTTTTTATAAATAGCTAGATCGTGTTATGTCGCTTTCTGGAGGAGAATTCTACCGACCGACTGCTTTGATCGGTCTGTCCGTGGTTTCTCCGATCAACACCAAGCGAATGCCAGAGAAGTACCCCAACAAAAGGGTCGCGGACAGACGCGCGATCTTTCCTTCCTCTTCCTTGTTCTATCTCTACCCCTTACTTACGTACATACTCTTACATGCACTGCGCCAACACACATGCCAGGCGAACAGTCGGGAAATTAGATCTTGTTTCGACTGGGCCTGTGCCCTGCTGTTGAGAGATACCTAGTTTCGGAAAACCCCGCCAGCAGACGGTAAATCGGCACCGGATCTCACCATCCAACCGGGGAAGATCACCTCTATCACTCGTGCAAAACACGCACTATACTTATGAAACTAATGACGTTAACAATTGACGAGCCCGGAATCATTAATCAATTAAAACAAATACATGATTAGCAATTTAACATTGGGAACTTAGACTTCCGTGGCCGGCGTCAGTATCTATTTGTTCGGGAGACGCCGCGACAGATGAGAACGTGTCGGTGCACATGCTGCTACCTTCTTCAGGGCGAAATTCTTCCTCAGGGTATATTATTCCAAGGAAGGTCGCAGCTTGGCGACCGAAACTTTGGTACCTGTGCCTAGGACGCGGCGTCTCCTGGACAGCCAAGTAGATGCAATTTAACGTTTTCCGCACAGGGCCAACTCAACAAACAGAAAGTCGGAAAGGATCCACTTATACCTTTAGCCACGACTGGCTCTGATATCCTACTTCCCAATGGTATGTTAAAAAATAACTATGCTGTATCCGGAATACTTCATTTTAATGCAATCAAAGCTCAGCGAGAGGAGACCCGGAGTGTTTTTAGTTACTGTTATTTAGATACAGCGGACTATTTATTATACTTCTCTCTAGATTTTCAATAAAAATACTACAAAAATAAAGTAGTGCTGAAAATTTGAATTTGGAGTACAATAACTTACGCCAGGAAGTCGTTGATTTTTTAAATGTCAGTTAAGAAGAGATATTGTACGTGTGGAGTACCAAATACATGTATCACCTTTTATCTGAAAATATTGAAAAAAAAAGAAAGTTGAACTAAAAGTTCTTAAAATATGCAAAAAATTGTGTTTGAATTTCAACGACTTGTCGGCCGGGTGTTTGTATTCCAAATTCATTTTTGATTTCCCAGGTGTTTTTTGAAGCACTTTACTTAAGATTTTAAAGTGATTTTAAAACTTCGACTGTGCCAAAATAACAGACGCTCTAGAGCTTATTGCCTCAACTACTATATGAGCAATATTACAATCTTTTCTTGGAGCCATGGCATTTCAAAAAGGACAGCATTCTTGCTACACTCATGGCAAATCGCTTAGTGTAACCTCCTGTTTCAAATTGTTTTTTACATCATAAACTAAATATCGTAAGCTGTTAATAGGCGTTTAACCAGTTTAACCCGAACGTTTACCAAGACGTTACGGTAATGCACGTTGTTCCTATTTGAGGTACCATAATGTACTACTACGAGTATGATCATTATTCTCAGAATAGCAAAATCTGACCTTTTCACTTTGGAATTCGACTTTGGTGATTTGATTGTGTGAGTCAGAAGTAGTACACACTGCTGTTGCAGCTTTCTCTGCCAATACAAAGTGTAACAACTTCCGTTCGAATCGTGTATCGTACTTAATAACTTGCAATATCACACTCCGACATTTCTATGCTAACGTAAAGATTAAAAATCGCGGATGCGCGCTATTCACGCTCTGCAAAAACTCTGCAATAAAACAAAATCAAGTAATGGCTTGCAGCAGCAGAAATACTGCAGATCAAAGAAAAACAAATGAAATGTTCCCGTACAACACTTCAAAAAATTAAGTACTCTAGCAAAAAACATTCTTCATGAATTAAAAATCTTACGTATTAACATAGTATAGTCTGTATATAGTAAAATGATTACATGACGCTAAAATTTTTAAAACAAAGTTGCTGTTTCCTAACGCAATAGCGAATACTTCATGACGGGCAGCCTCTTCCTTGAAGCCTTTCTGTTGCGTTAGCTGTGGAGTACGCACGTGACGCACTGACATATTAATTCAGTCTGTTCATACATTATGAGAATAAGCGAATTAACGTAATCAAATATTTGCATTTTTCAGTCGAAATTGAAACTGTTACATATTTTTGTGATTTAACCCATGTTCATAGATAACTCTGTATGGCTGGAGGGTGCTCATAATTGTCTCACAATTTGTGCGCGCATTAGAAGTGATTGATTCATTTTTGATTCCGGGCACGTCAGCTACTAGTCCCCGTAAGTGTAATGCATGTTTTTATCGCGAGAGAAGAAAGAAGAAGGAAAGATCGCGCGCTAGTGTCGAAAATCTTTCTGCCACCGTCGAAGTGCAACCCCAGGACCTCCCTGCCAGACGGACTGCAGTGGCATCAGGCCAGTGCATTGGGGGGCGAAGAGTGGTACTCACGTGGCGCGGAGCTTGGCGTGGGCGAGCGCGTGGGCGTGCGGGAGGGCGTGAGCGGGGCCCGCGCCGGGGCCAGGGCCCAGCGGCGAGGCGCCCTTGGCGAAGGCGCAGCCCGCGTCCCGCACCACCTGGCGCGCCAGCGGGAAGAGCTCGTCGCGACGCGCCAGCAGAGCGGGCATGAAGCGGCACAGCTGCGCCGCCGCCTCGTTCACAGACACCTGCGCCAACACACGGTCCCCGTCAGGCACTTTACCTCCAACGGCCAGCATTCCAATGACAATCGCTCCAAATTCGTCAATTCGAATATCTATAACTCGACCCTCCATAACTCGAATATCGTTAATTCAGATACCTTTGAATCAAATCTCGAATATTTGCACTTCAAAACTCGCACTCGATAAATAGAAACTCAGTAATTGGAACCTTGATAACAACCACTCTCTTTGATATCTCACTCAAATGCTTTGATGTCTCGTTTTATATTTCCCTTAATACATTCTACACACGTGCCAACTTAACTCTAAAAATATAATATTATGAAATATGAACTTCCATATAGTTTTTCGTGGATTTGTGTGTATATCGAGCTGATTCTGTCGTCTGGGAATCCACACTCAGATGAAAGGATGGTAAACCTTCATCGATTTACTCGCTTCCTTCTCACACAATCTCATTTTATGGGTGCGCAATTTAGTGTCAAATTTTATCCCTTCAGCCTGTCGCTCCGTTTCACCTCCTAAGTCAAATGATCTCCCGAAGAACGAGAAAATCTTAGCGGTCTCATTATCATTACTATGACAAACTTCTAACAACAGAAGTTTGTTAAACCCTTGGCGCACTCCTATTCATCACTCACATCCACAATTTGTCTATTGCTGAGAATTTTGCAAGAAAATCAACAATATATTTCATTTGAATTTTTTTCCTAATGTTTTGTTACACAATTAAAATGCACTTGAACATTTTACAAATGTACAGAAGAAAACAATTCTATTCATTTAATTTTTAAAGTATTTCAAGTTACTTTTACAGGGAATAATGAATTTGAATAATAAAGAATCCATGGAAATATTTGTGGTAAATATTATAAATAACCAAGACACAACTTGGTTAAAATTAAAAACTTCTAAGATAATTGTAATTCTTTGGATTGTCTTATTTTGTCAAAAGAAGAGGTGGAGAATGTAAGGAACAACAATAGCAGTAGTGCTAATGGGCAGGACTTCTAAGAACCCGAGAATCCCAACGTAAAGTAAAGGAAGTTCATGTTTACAGTGACTAGGATAATAAGTTCTCCAGCTGCAGTCAAAATATTGCTAATGCTTACAAAGCCATTATGCCTACAATTGGATGGATGAAATTTTCATAATGGTGAAAAAGATCTTCGATTCAACGTTCATTTGTAAAGGAAACGTGATCCTTTATCAAGGAAGCCACCCTATAGTTTAGAAGGTTGCTGAGGAAGTCGTCAGGTCATTTAAGCAAGGAAAGGAACTTCAAAGCAAAAAGTGAAAAGAGCAACCCGAATATTTGTAGTGGGTTTTCTGTTCAGAGAAGGGAGGGGAGGAAACGGAAAAACGTAGAGAGGTGCCGAACGCATAGTAAGGAGAAGGCGATGAGGGGAATTGAGAAGGGGATGGTTGAGATGTGGGAGTGGGGGCTAATGGAGCGACTGGCGGGCATGAAGGGGTGGACTGCAACGAGCGGAGGGGGCGGAATAGCGCCAGGACGGGGACGAGACTGAACATCGGGATGGATATGTCATCGCACGGCGAATGGGCTGAGGCGGAAGTGGACCGGGAGCGTGAGCAAGGGATAACAGATGGAGCGGGAGTGCAGGTGGAGTAGGGTAAGGGTGAGGTAGGGTAAGGTGGAACGGCAGTGAAGACCTGAATAGTGGCGGGAGGGGAGGCAGAACGGTCGGGAGAGCGATCTGGTGTGGGGTCGGCAGCGGGGTCGGCAGCGGAGTCGGGAGCGGGGTCGGGAGCGGGGTCGGGAGCGGGGTCGGGAGCGGGGTCGGGAGCGGGGTCGGGAGAGGGTCGGGAGCGGTGCCTGGGGCAAGGGCGGAGGGCCCAGGCAGCGGTCGCACCCACCTCATGTAGCGTGAGCGGCTTCTCGGGCTTGCGCTTGCAGTCGAAGCGGCCGTAGATGGCAGCGTACTTGCGGATCTCCTCCATGCGGCGCGGGTCGTCCTCGGGCATGCTCATCACCACCTGCGCAGCGCGCCACGCGGGCTCAGCAATCGCCAGTGCGCTCGCGCACATCTGTTGGAACACATCGGTGTTCCTCAGCGCCGCTCTCGCAACATTAGCCACACTTAGCCACACCAACACACACGTAAACCAGACATTAATCGGAGCTTCAAGTTTGGAGGTTGTTGCTCTGGTTTGAATCAGCTGAAATACATGTCTCACGTCCAATGACAAAAAATGGAGATACAGGTTGCCCCTGAATTTTGCCGACAAACTTGGAGAATTGAGGAAAGGGCGGAAACGAAGCAACATTGGTTCTATACGCATTTTACCAAAGATGAGTTTTTTTAGAGTACAGGATTTCAAGCTGGCATTCTTTTCACAAGCGGTATTACGCCGTGACATGGGGATAATGCTATTCATGTCGCCAGGCGTTATCAATACCGGACAGTGGTTCATTTAGGGGTCAGTAATTCAGCTCTCATTTAGATCATTATCTGTGAGAATGATTTGTTCGAGGATTTTAAGGACATGTTCCTAGGAGCCTTTCCGTGTCGCGGGCGTGCGGGGCGTGTCGGGGGCGGGGGCGAGGCTGTATGGCGGCCACTCACCTCGAGGTCCCTGCAGAGGCGTCGCTTGGCGGCGTGGGGCGGGCGCGGGGACAGCGGGGGCAGCGCGCGCGCCAGGGCATCCGCCGCCTCCGCCAGGCGCGCCACCTGCGCCTCCAGCAGCACAGGCGTCAGCTGCAGCGGCGACCCGCGCCCGCCCGCGCCGGGCGGCGCCGCGGGTCCAGGGCTGCAGGGCCCCGCCCCCGCTCCCGCCACGCCCTCCGCGCCCCCGCACACGCGGCCGGGGCTGGGCGAGGCGCCGGGCGTCGAGCCTCCGTGCCCGCTGCCGCTGCCGCTGCCGCTCTCCTGTAAGATACACACGTACACCCTCAAAACTCCGCTTCAGCAGTTGACACATAAGGCTTTGAATAAAAAAAGCACTAATTTAAGGTCAATTCATTTTTAGACATGTACAATTTTTGTTTATTTTCTCGTATATATACGTATTTATGGAGTAATATACGTGGTGTAGAGAAAGTTATGTAGCGGAGAAAGACGCTAGTTATCTGCGGACAAATTTTTCGACTTTCGCATTGTGGGTACGTAATACGAAAAAGAAAATAAATCTTGGTCTAATATGTGCATTAAGTTGTTCAATCATTGCACCGGGAGTACGTTAAATGTTGCTCGGTCACTCTTTTGATCCTGAAACCCAATTTGAGATTCATAATACTATTAGTGCCATTTGCAATACTATAGTACAGCCTGATTGTCACTTATTTATATTTTTTGTATCAAACCTTCTAAAATTAGAGTTCAAAAGCATATTTCAAAATGATATTTTTGATATTTCTTACAATCGATAAAAAAAGAATTAAAGCGAAATGATGCGAAGCACTACTTTTCTTTTGGGGACTCGAAATCAATTAACAAAAATAAAAATATCTCTTTTTTTATTTAAGTGAGGGCGATTTAATATGGTCATAAACTTAATATACTACTTCATTGAAATATTCAAGCTTTTGTGCATGTAAATTAGAAAAATAGGCACAAAAAAACAAAAAACAACAACAACAAAATATCCGCATAAAATGCCATAATCAATTAGATAGTTCATCCATTATTTAATAGATCTGTAAAATACTTTGATATCTTTAATACAAATTCAAAAGTTGCTCGCGCTGTACAAACATGAAGCTTCTCTGAGAAGCAGATCTGCCGGGGAGGCATCAAAGTGAGCGCGCCTCGTTGCTGCACTGCGCGTCTAATGGGAGACTCAAATTGCAGGAAGAAAGAGAACGAGTTAATGTGTGAAACTTGTGGACATTCACTCCAAGAAGGCAACTTTCAAACTTAAAAACCCGAACACCATGATCTTTAAAGATCGTAAAATGCATTATAAATTCGCAATATTTAACATTAAAAAATTATATAATTGAAGATAGAGATGTTTACGTTTTAAATCTTTTCTAAAAAATCAACTCTAAAAAATGTCAAGTGCATTTAAAAAAACAATAGTTTTTGTGCAATTTGTGCTTAAAATTTATGCAATTTCTAAAAAACGTTTCTAAAAAACATTTCAAATTGTTTCTTCAATTTCCCCCCGCGGATGGAATAAAGAATGCTTGGAATGAATGGCGTAGGTCTCTTTTTTCGTTGAATTCACTCAATTTTCGAAAATTTCAAATCTAGAAATAATGTGAGAGCGTATGTGCTGTTGTAGCACCACTTTCCATTAGGATTATGATTACAAAACGAGGTAGAGGAAGTAACTTACTATATACTATAGAAAAAAAGTTGTATCCACTTTTTCGTTACCAGCGCCCGGCAATAAGAGTCTGTCATAATTTTTCCGTTTTCTGACACACAATTACAATATTTTCTCTTCTTACGTTGTAAGGAAAAGTAAAAAATAAATGTAAATAAATATAAGTAAATTATAAAGATATTGATTGGCTTGCTAATGGCTTGCAGCGGCAAAAATGATGTTGAACAACAGCACACAAAATGGATTTCCAGAAAAATCGCACACTGCTTCTAGAAATATTAATAAATTACTATTGTATAAATGCAATAATTCATATATAACAAAAATAGTCTTAACTGATACGGAAATAGGAGAGTATAATGTAGTATATTCTACAGCAGTTCTTTATTTACCGAAAATATAAGAAAAAAATGTTTGATAACACCAAACGTGAATAGCGAACATTTAATTGTAAGGTGCCTCATGCTTGGTCCCTTGCTATCGTGCCGCACTGGGTGTGGAAACTAAGTCCGTATTCGTATTATAAAAATAGTCAGAATTACACAATCAAATATGTTTCGTATTTTCCAAGAGTTTGAGGTATCTAAAGAACCCATAGACACTTCTCACTGGACCCTACACCGCCCAGTTGTATTTGAATTTCTGGGTGAAGTGGAATAAGTAGTATTATAATAGCCAGAGGGAAAATTGAAATAGCAGAGCTACTAGTAGCTCAGGAGGGGAACAGAGCGGCTCCTCTCCGCGTGCAGTGGGAGGGGGGAAAGGCAGTGACGGATAATGATGCGATCTTGAATGATGACGCAGTGAGCGGAGGAATGTAAGCAGACACGGAAGATGAACCCACTGTCGGCTGCACTCCGTTATTTACATAGTCGTTCTTCTTAGCTTAAAATTGGCGAGACATGCACATCGTTATGCAATGTAACAAAGACGCATAACTGATCTTCGCAATGGCTACTGGTCTCGGCAGTTCCGTCCAAACTTGTTAAGAAGACGCGCATCGCCAACGTCCAAAATTCCTGCATAATTTTTCACAAATTTGTAATTACAGGTATTTTTCATCCACGAACAAAGCATTGAAATGTAAAAACATGGAGCACAAAACTCCGATGTTAAAAAAGCATCAATTCCAATACATCTATGTTTTGAAAACATAGTTATCGACGTCGCATATCTAGTACTTATGAAGTACAGGCAAATTTATGTAACGCTGTAACGAAAACGGGAATTATTTGGCAGAAAAAGTCGTATTAAAGGGGATAATTCTTTCTGCAAAATGCAGGAAAACTGACAACAAACGAAACGCTCCGATGTCGCGGTCGCTACGATGTTGTGGACACGATGGGTCGTCTAAATAGGACGCGAGGGCGTCGCTTTAAGATGTGTTATTACTTGTCTGGACACACCTTTACATTTCTGGGCTTGATTTCTTGAATCTGAGTACCGACATTCTGAAACATTGTTGGCCGTTTTTTAAGTTCCGTTTTTTAATTGTGAAAATTAGTTAAATTTAGGATGCTACAAAAGCTTTTCACTTTATTTGTAATGGTCACTTAAAATTATGTGAAACTAATATTTTCAAAAAAAAAATTACATGACCATATTTTAAGAAATAATTTAAAATATATTTTAATAGGAAAAATCTATATAATGTAGACAAAAAATTAAACTTCTGCAATTTTCTTTTCTGAAAATTTAGAGAATTCAACGAAAATCGCATCACTGCCTTTTTAATAAGCTCTAAAGGAGAAAAAAAAAAACAATTAAAGAAAAAATATTTTTAAGAAGATTTTGACAAATGTCATCATGGGAGTTTATGTTATTTGTGTCCCCAAAATCAAAATATCATTTTTAAATTCAAGGATCTCAACATCGTCTACATCGATTGGCGATTATCAATATTGCTGAAATTCCTGCCCACTGTTTAGTCACTAGCGTTAAAGACAAACCGACAAATAGATAAACGTTTCATCGTCAACAAATATTTCGGTATCAAGAGACCACAAAAAGTTCTCCAACAAAAAATTCTGGCTACACGACTTTCGAGTAACTTTATTACTACATAAAAGGACAAGAATTATCCCCTTTAATACGACTTTTTCTGCCAAATAATTCCCGTTTTCGTTACAGCGTTACATAAATTTGCCTGTACTTCATAAGTACTAGATATGCGACGTCGATAACTATGTTTTCAAGACATAGATGTATTGGAACTGATGCTTTTTTAACATCGGAGTTTTGTGCTCCATGTTTTTACATTTCAATGCTTTGTTCATGGATGAAAAATACCTGTAATCACAAATTTGTGAAAATTAAAATATGAAACAATAACTGATGATTCCACTGTATATTTATGTGTTCAAAACATACAAACAAACAAACAAACGCGCTATATACTACATTCATCGAATAGACTTTCCGTCGCCCGAGATGACCTCGATGTCCAGGTATTTCCATCTTCCTTCGATTTTCGCACAGGAAGAGTTTTTTTTAATTTAAAAATTTAAATGTTTATTAAAAATCAATACACTTAAATATAAATTAATATACTCGGCGACTGTATTCAAAAAGCGATGTTTAGATACGTGGATGCATTTTAGTCTATGTATTATTGTCATCGATCATTTAATTATGAACATCAATGTTTGACAATATCTATGTTTTGTTATCAGCGTCACATCACTACCAAGTAGAATGCGACAAAGTAAAGAGATATGGAAGTTCAGACAGAGCGAGCACTCACGTGTGGCAGGGGTGGTCCGCCGGGGCTGCCGTGGTTGTTGAGCGTGGCAGGGGCGGGCGCGGGGGCGGCGCCGCCGGGCGGGCTGCGCGCCGCGGGGCCCAGCGTTGGCAGGAGCAGCGCGGGGCCCGCCGGGGGGCGGCGGGTGCAGCGCGGGCGGGTGCCGCGGCGAGTGCGTGAGCGCGGGCGCCGGCGGGGGCGGGTGGCCGGGGGCGGGTGGTGCGGCACCAGCTGCAGCGGCGGAGACACCACCGGAAAGGGCAGCGGCGGCGCCGCGCCCGCCGCCGTAGGCACCAGCGGCGTCTGGAACTGCGCTGCGCACCAACGCCACGTCAGCCCCTTCTCACCGCACCATCAGGTCAAATTCAGATCGCGCGTACTATTTAATAGAGTAGAAATACGTGAGTTGAGACAACCCCATTGTCGTGATGATATGATGGGAAAAATATGAACCCCGGGTTAGCTATTAAAAGAGGTTTATTATGAGCCTTTGTTTCAAGTACACGGTTACATCCTCACGGAGGCTGCGAAGCACAGCCATGAGGAGGGTGGGGGAGGAGAGTCAGGCTGGCAGTGGGTCGCTCTATTCAGCCTTGCGTCGAATCCAGACTCGGTCAACCCGAAGGCAACCGTAGATCTTTTTTTTTTCCCCCTTTTTCCCCCCGATTTTCCTCTTTCCAGTTACCCTGGAGAAGGAATTTATTTAACATGCGGCGTACATAAATAGCTAGAGCCGGTAAGGATTTTGTAGGTTGTGCGGGCCTAACTTAATTAAACTAGCTACAATTATCTTACAACTAATTACATGATCACTTTGGCCTATCGTAGTTACACAAAATTATTTTGATTTTATATTCAGTTCTTCAAAAATGTTCTTTTGTCTTCAACTCGGTGGCCAACTGACCATCTGGTTTTTGTTTCTTTTCCTTTTTTTCTTTTCTTTCTTTTTTTCCTTTTATCTCCTTTTTTTTCTTTTTCCCCCGGTTTCTCTGAAGAGGTGGGAATTTACTTTGCTTTCGGGGTCCATAAATTAGCTGCAGCCGATAAGGCTTGTGCAGCGGAGGTTAGGGCCTATGTTAAATAAACTTACTCGTAATCTAAACTTGATAACTAATACAAATGCCGCTTTGGGCCTATTGTAGTTAATCAAAAAGTTATTTAAATTCAATAAAAGTTCTTGGGATTGTTTTCTACTTTTTAAAATTATTTTATTCATTCACTCTCACATTCATACTTATACTATATACAAACACACTCATTCACACAATCGCATGACACAACACTACACTATTTACGCTGATTTATTCGCCACGGCGCCGACTTCACTGAAGCGCCCGTGGCGCCGCGACCATCTCGGTGGCCGGACGCGGCCTTTATGTTCTGCCGGGTCAGTCCATCCCTACGGCAGAAGGGGGAGGCGTTGCCCTCGTTCGGGGCACACACAAGGGGGCGGATCCAGGCGGAGTGAAGGCGGCCAGGGGCACGAGGCGGCGTCGCCTCACCTCACTATCTCTATTTTGGAATGAATTGCATCGGAAATTTGGGATTGACTAGATTTAGCGATTAGTAATTCCGGGCCGTTAATGGCTAAGGTCGGTGCATTGCACTTTTCTTCCTCTGATGGTTGTAATCTCCCTCCGCTGGATAGTGAGGTCTGGTGAAGACCTACACGTCGACTAGTGGTGTTTCTCCAACCGGGTATCTCCCTCCAGTGGGGCACCACTCCAGCCAGGAAAACCTCAGAACTGGTTTTCCGGTAAGTGTGTTAGTGTGGTGCATGTAAGTGTGTGCGTAAGTAAGAGTGAGAATTGCGCGCGATCCGTGGCCCATTTGTTACGGTACTGCACCGGCGTTCGCTTTGTGCTAATCGAAGAAACCATGGAAAATTACCGATCAGAGCAGCCGACGGCAAAATTCTCCTCCAGACCGCTACTGAACCTGACCTTGCCATGAAAGTAGTGTCGAAAATCCTGCCACCGTCAGGTGTGGAACCCTAGGACCTCCCCGTCAGAGACACTGCAGTATCATCAATTGATGCTCTGAGCCATCTAAGCCGATTTGGTTGACTGGACTGACAGGTGTTTTAATTTGACGTTGTGCCTCAAGGCCAGAGACTCATAGTCGACTTCGAAACACACGAGCAAAGCCCATGAACAAGGAGAGGAATCGATATCGTCGTGTCTGTATTTTTATGTTAAATGCGTGGAAATGTTCGCCATATTCGCCATACGTCACCTCAAATCACCTCGCTCTTATTCCCCACCTCACGAAACTTCACCTCATCTCAACTATTTTAAACATCTTACTAATCCATAGCCAGTTCCTCACCTAATATCAAGCTTCATATTATCAGTCTTCCCAGGAACTCAAGTCCTGTTCACCTCCCTTCATGTCCTTTCGTTTCAATTAACTGACCTCACTTCTCTTTATTGCTTGTATCAGAACGCATTAAACCAGTCAATAAGAGAGTAAACAGTAACAAGAATACAGAGACTTTGAAATATTATTTCAGTACGTTTACATTGTCTTTGTACTATACCAGAGTCGAGCTGACACATTATTTAACAACGAAAAATCCATAAAACACTATTAGTAACGTATAGGATTGGGACAAATCATTAGCTATCAGTTAGCAATCATTTATCTGACCAAATCTAGTCTATAAAGTAAGTACTGTAGTTTCAAAGTTATGACACGTTAATGTATTTAAAATGCACGTTTAGTACCGAACATTTTTCACATCAATATTTGTTTCAGTGCTTTACAAAAATATCTATCTTATATAAAAGACACCCAAAATTCATTTCAGTGCTCTAGACATCGCACTAGTAATATGTGAAACGTTTTATAATTTTCCAAAAGTGGATTATTAAGTTAACTTGTCCCAATTTTTATTTGTATTCTGAATCCGACCATTTCAATTCATTCACCTGCACATTGTTCTGTGGCGCGCACTTCCGGGATATGCTTCAAATGATATGTCGAAGTCCACAGTCACGGAGATGTTGCTCTTCCTAGAGTTGGAAAGGCATAGTTGTTCTACCCAGTGGTGCATTGAAAAGGGGGGCGTGTACTCTGGTGTTAGAAATGTTTCATCACGAATAATGAAATGTATTATTTATCAATTATTTAAACTGTATATTTTGTTAGAGTGCTATATATGATTAAATTGTTAAACATTCTATAACCGAAGATAATTTACAATATTCGCCTTTTTATAACATTGCTCTTTTGGTTCTACACGTGTCCCTCTCCTGGGGCAGTTTCTGGAACCGCGCGTGGTTTAATTCAGTGATTGTTGCATAGAAGACAACGACAGGCAAATATGTATTCTGTGTTTTAATCTACAATCATTCATTATAACGTCATTCTTTCCCACGAAAATAAGTTTTCATGAGTACATGGTCACCAACCAATTACAAGAATTACAGAAATACTGCATACTATTACATGCAACATAGGTTTCGAAGAAAAAAAAGTTTCAATATTTAGTAAATATTTACCAGCAAAAGTGTAATAAAATTCACAAATTTAGCTAATTTATTTTTTTCTACTTTTCACAGATGATTTATAAAACGTTATGGATTTAACAGTGGCTCTCATACGGCTTCTGCTTGTCATACAGATGACTTCCACAATTTCACACAGAACTGTACTAGTTCGTATATACGAGATTATATTAAAAAAATACGTTCAATCACTTGCCTAAACCCTGAAGAAAATCAGGAGCAATCGATTTTCTTTGGTGACCGTCTTACTCGCAGAATTATGGTCAAAGTCCTTCGTTTTTACGTGGACGTTGAAACTGTGACGTATCCTGTAACACGTATCCGTATTCAAGTCCTCTTGAGGATTCAAGAGGAAGTACGAAGTATTTAAATTCTCTCTAAATACGCATGGGCGCGTGATTAGCTTATTGGCATGAAAACCCCCAGAATGCGAGTTCGATCGCGTCTGAGGTGCATGAATATTGGATGGCGGAAAATCCCAGTGCCTAGGCCATGTTGCACGTGGCAGTTGGCCAGCAAAATTAAATCCTTCCGGCAATTTCCCGTCCTAATGAGAAATCACGTTTTCGGACACTGGCGGAGCAAGTGAGAGTCACACCCAGGCACTCCAGGGGGACGCCCTTGGGGCGCGCCTACTTGACGTTTCACAGACCCGCGAAGAGGTTCGGTTTCAAAGGAAGCCTAGGTCGAAAACAGAGTGCGCAACTACTGCAAATGGTTGTGCATCCGCAAAATAACTCATATGATAAATAGGTAAGAACGGGGATGGTGGCTGAGGGCATTAAGTATCATTGCAGTGCCTCTGACCAGCAGGGCCCGTATGGCCTTTCCTTCCGGTCGGGAGCTCACAGCCGATCCCAGCTGAGGCAGTGTCCCGCTGATGGGAGATACCTGATTAGGGAAAACCTCGCTATCCGACGGGAAGGTCGGAGCTGGATCTCGCCATCCAGCGGAGAGATATCTGAGGCCCCTCCTGCGGTAAAACATGTACTACACTTATGGAGTTAATTACGCTGGCAGTTGATATGTCCAGCATCTCTTATCAAGGAAACAACCAAATCAATCAGTAAATAGATGTCTCTAAACCTGCCGAGAGCTCTAAACAGAGACCTTGTGCGCAGAACAATAAGCTGCGAATTGAAACCGGTGAAATCTGTGGCGCATTCGGCTTCTCATGCCATCACGAGTCTCATCTGAACCATTACCTCATCCACAATCTTCCTTTCTTCCTCTCAGAGGCCCTCTCAGAGTCACCTCTACAAAATGGGAGAAAAATACTATGACCGTGTGCCAGACAAGGAGTAAATATCCTCCTTGCTTACACTCAGATTGAGTAGGTTGCTTATCACACTCACGTACGTCATTGTCGGAGCAATTGTCTTTTCAGTAGCTTAGTGGACAAAACAACTGGAGGTAAACAGCAGACCGCTTCTTTCCGCTTGGAGTATCTAACGTTTTGAAGTATATCAACATTTAATTCAAAATAAATTATTTTCTTCTTCTCAAGAGAGGTTTATGAAACGTCGTGAATGTAAACAGCCGCTGTACATAACGCCACATTTGACATGCGTCACTTAATTAATATAGTTATAAGAAATAATGACTAATTCAAGATAAATCGTTTATCGAAAATCATTTTTGTGGGTAAAGAATAACATTCTGCCCTTCGACTTACAATAGCAACCACACGCAGTATCTGTTGCCTTGAAAATTTACGTTTGCCCCAAAGAGCTCTGCAATACTACCGCGGGCGTCAATCTTCGGACATTGCAGCAGATCTTTCTATACGTGCATTTCTTCCAAAA